AATAAAAGCTATTTACGACAAAACAACAGCCAATATCATACTGAATGGGCAAAAACTGGAAGCATTCCCTTTCAAATCCGGCACTAGACAAGGATGCCCTCTCTCACCACTCCTATTCAATATAGTACTGGAAGTTCTGGCCAGAGCAATGAGGCAAGAGAAAGAAATAAAGGGTATTCAAATAGGAAAGGTGGAAGCCAAATTCTCTCTATTTGCAGACAACATGATAGTATACCTAGAAGACCCCATCGCCTCAGCCCAAAAACTCCTGAAACTGATAAGCAACTTCAGCAAAGTCTCAGGATATAAAATCAATGTGCAAAAATCACAAGCATTCATCTACACCAATAACAGACTTAAAGAAAGCCAAATCAAGAATGAACTGCCATTCACAATTGCTACAAAAAGAATAAAATACCTTGGAATACAACTCACAAGGAACGTAAGGGACCTCTTCAAGGAGAACTACAAACCACTGCTCAACGAAATCAGAGAGGACACAAACAGATGGAGAAACATTCCATGTTCATGGTTAGGAAGAATTAATATCGTGAAAATGGCTATACTGCCCAAAGTAATTTACAGAATCAACGCTATCCCCATCAAGCTACCATTGACTTTCTTCACAGAACTGGAAAAAACCACCATGAACTTCATATGGAACCAAAAGAGAGCCCGCATAGCCAAGTCAATTCTAAGCAAAAAGAACACAGCGGGGGGCATCATACTACCGGATTTCAAACTATACTACAAGGCTACAGTAATCAAAACAGCATGGTAATGGTACCAAAACAGAGATATAGACCAATGGAACAGAACAGAGGCATCGGAGACAACATATCTACAACTATACAATCTTTGATAAACCTGACAAAAACAAGCAATGGGGAAAGGATTCCCTGTTTAACAAATGGTGCTGGGAAAACTGGCTAGCCATGTGCAGAAAGCAGAAACTGGACCCCTTCCTGACACCTTACACTAAAATTAACTCCAGATGGATTAAAGACTTAAACACAAGACCTGGGACGATAAAAACCCTAGAAGGAAATCTAGGCAAAACTATCCAGGACATAGGAGTAGGCAAGGACTTCATGAACAAAACACCAAGAGCATTGGCAACAAAAGCCAAAATAGACAAATGGGACCTAATGAAACTCCACAGCTTCTGCACGGCAAAAGAAACAGTCACTAGAGTGGATCGGCAACCAACAGAATGGGCAAAAATTTTTGCAGTCTACCCATCTGACAAAGGGCTGATATCCAGAATTTACAAAGAACTCAAACGGATTTACAGGAAAAAAACAAACAAGCCCATTCAAAAGTGGGCAAAGGATATGAGCAGACACTTTACGAAAAAAGACATATATGAGGCCAACAATCATATGAAAAAATGCTCATCGTCACTGGTCATCAGAGAGATGCAAATCAAAACCACATTGAGATACCATCTTACACCAGTTAGAATGGCAATCATTAAAAAATCTGGAGACAACAGATGCTGGAGAGGATGTGGAGAAAAAGGAACACTTTTACACTGTTGGTGGGAGTGTAAATTAGTTCAACCATTGTGGAAGACAGTGTGGCGATTCCTCAAGGCCTTAGAAATAGAAATTCCATTTGTCCCAGCAATCCCATTACTGGGTATATATCCAAAGGACTATAAATCGTTCTACTATAAGGACACATGTACACGAATGTTCATTGCAGCACTGTTTACAATAGCAAAGACCTGGAATCAATCCAAATGCCCATTGATAATAGACTGGATTGGAAAAATATGGCACATATACACCATGGAATATTATGCAGCAATCAGAAATGATGAGTTCGTGTCGTTTGTAGGGACATGGATGAATTTGGAGAACATCATCCTCAGCAAACTGACACAAGAACAGAAAATGAAACACCGCATATTCTCACTCATAGGCGGGTGATGAAAAATGAGAACACATGGACACAGAGAGGGGAGTACTAAACACTGAGGTCTATTGGGGGGAAAAGGGGAGGGCCAGTGGGAGGGGGAGGTGGGAAGGGATAACCTGGGGAGAAATGCCAAATGTGGGTGAAGGGGAGAAAGGAAGCAAAACACACTGCCATGTGTGTACCTACGCAACTGTCTTGCATGCTCTGCTCATGTACCCCAAAACCTAAAATGCAATTAAAAAAAAGGACAAATTTTCTGGGATTGGCTTTGGCTTTATTGGACTAATATTCCAACAACAGGCACAGTAATTGTACTCAAATAATATAATTGTTTTGTTGTATATTAATAATAAATCCCCCAAAACTTCTGTGTAACCCATCAAAGGAAAGAAATATTCACAACATTTCTACCAATACCTGGCATAAAGTAGAGACTCACTGAATACATGCATGTAGGTCTTAGTAGACAAATCAATGAACAAATTGCAGTGAAAACAATTGTACTTACAGTCAATTAATTCATTCAACAATTAGTTTTTACTACATGTGTGAATACTCTGCTGAGCACTGAAGAGTCAGTGGTGAGGGAGACAGACCTAGGCCCTGTTGTAAAGGAGTTTTCAGTGCAGTAGGTCAGCAGATATGACTGAGGTCATCACACATGAATGAGGCCTAAAAGAAATAGTCAAATTTATTTAAATTGTAGACAAGGGGTCAATGCCAGCATATAACCATGACATTTTTTTAGAAATTGCATCTACAGACATAGAGCAAGTGGTTAAAAAAGGTAACACCTGATGGTTGCTAAAGTTGCCTCTTGGTAACTTGGGACAGGTTACTGAGAGAATTTGCAGAATCTTTTCTTTGGCCATCTATAAAACTAGACCAGAGCTTTTTATGTGTGTCCTGATTGTGTAGGGTCATGTTTAAAATTAGAAATATATACTGAGAGACTCAAATTTGTCTTCTGCCAGTATTCTTTATCATATCAAGATCCTTTTATTAGTTCCAAACACTTTAAATGCAGCAGCTCAGCTATTTTTCTGAGGTATAATGGGAAAAATTAGAATTTATGTGCTGAAAAACAATGTATTGCCCTTATTCTCCCATAATTCAGGGAAAACAGCTAAGTGAAATTTTGGTCAAACTTTCCAAAAAGTTTTGGGCTGAAGACAAGCATGGAAAAATTCAAGCCCAAAGGAGATATTTCCAGAAATTTAGAAGCAAGTGAAAACAGGGGGTTATAACAGTTCACTATTTGCTGCCAGGAACAAAGTATATATGATATTATTTATTGCTGAAATCTTTTCAGAGAGACAGCATCTGGTTTCAGTGAGATCTTGCTTTCATCCCATCCAGCAGCTGGACTAAACACTCCAGCACAAGCAGATCAACCAATTTGCCAAGGTGACACAGCGATTAGTGACTCTTTCCAGATTAGACCACAAGAGCCTCCTGACTCCTTGAATGCCAAGAAAAAGTCACATGACCAATGGAGAGTTTAACAATTTTTTTTTTCTACTTCAAGTGAATTCTTCAGCTTGAATTTTTATTTGTGTTTTTATTTTCAGAGTCCCAAAGAGTGAGTCTTTCTCACTTTGCCACATTTCTCCAGTGGGAGGATCAGATATCAACTTGGTTGCTTGTGAATGCCAAAATGCCCTGCCTCCTTCCAGGAGGATTTATTCATCTAGGCCAAGCGTGCTCATGGCAGAAGTCAGAAATGGTCATGCAATATTCCACTCATACTGAGGCACAGAGAGCCAGTGATCCAAATGCTAGCTAACTCTGAACAGAGAGGTTGCACTCTACTTTGGCCATTCCAAAACTGCCTCTCTCAGGCAGGGGAAAAGCTGATGAAGATGAAGTTAACTCTGCCAGGAGAAAGCATCATAAACTTTTACTTCTCTTAGAGCTTTTTCTCTACCAGTACTATTTTTACAGAGCCCTGACTAAAGACAATGAGCTCCTTCATTCTTTTTGCATATGTCTTCCATACCGAAAGGAGAAAAGGAGGCTGTTTCCTTAGCCTATGTTTTCCTTACACCTCAAGAAGATCATGTTATTCAAGTTGCAAAGGGAACAAACAAGCAACGACACACGTGTGCACACACACACACACATGTTATGAAATTGATGTAATTTCCACTAATCAATCTCTTTGTTTTCCTCTGTATGACTATCTGTCCTCACACACAATTATTAATACGATTATTAATCATTATTATGAATATATGCTATATTATATAATAATATATTAATTATTAGAATAATAAATTCAAAAGGCCAACTAAGAAAGGGAAGAGGGGGAGTGAAAGAAGAAGAATATAACCATTCTTTTTCATTTCTAAACTTCAAATTCATGCATGACAATCTAATATGAGAAGACCAGGGAATTGAGAGAACTGAGTCAATTGAGTGTGTGAATGGACCTGGCGTATTCTAAACTGGCAAGAAGAATATCAGGAGGGGAACAAGACCTCATTTGGTCCTTAGACCCCTCAATGGCAACAGACAGGGTACAGCGTCAAGAGAAAACAAGTAAGCTTTTGTAACAGAAGGCAACACCCAGAAGACATGCTGTTTCAATAATGCAAAACAAATGTCCACTATGAGTGACAGCAACCTAACTTCACTTTAAGTCTGAATGGTTAATACTACTTAAGAAACTAATACAATTTCAATTCAATAGCATTTAGAAATTTATTTTAGACTTACTGCAGATGTCAAAACATATAAATAAAATTTCACTTTATGTTTCTTTTACATTACAATTTTCTTCTTTAATTGGAGCAGAAAAAAAAATAGGCCTTGACCATAAAAAAAGTGATTACATTTCAAGCATGTGGCTGGTGTTTTAGTTACAAATGCATGCTATTCCTTTTTGATTTTTTTTCCCAAGGGACAGCCATGCTAATTTTAATACTGTACTCATTCATTCAGCATTTGCTGAATGCCTACTATGGGCTAGGTACTGATTTAGGCCCAAAGGCTATAATCATAAACAACACAGACATATCTCTGCCTTCCTGGAGCTTTCAACTCAGCACTCTTGTTTCACTTCAAAGTTCACTTACTGTTTTGATAAAGCTCAGTTCAGGTGTTAAAAAGAAAACCTTCATCCAAGGAAAATTCTGAAGTTATTGTTGTCTTTCCAAAATTTATTTTCTCAACCCTCCAATTAGTCCATTGGCATAAAACTCAGAGTAAATGTCGTTCTCAGAGAAAAGAGCTTCAACATGATGGTTAATTTTTGCTTTGAGATGAGTTTTAAAATAATAAATGCTTAATGATTTAACCAGTAGGTTCCGCTGTTACATGCTGAACTAAGTGCTATAACAAACACCAGGGCAGGCAGACTGAAAAAGATGCCTCCAAATTTTAAATGTAGTTCTTTCTCTCCCTAAAATCTACACTGACATCCCTAAGTGAACGCTGGTAAATAATTACACATTCTGGCACTCAAGTGCAAACAATGAGGTTTCGAAGTTTGCCCCGACCAGCTGTTCATAAAAAATCCTTTGACAGTGCCAGTAGAGATCAATTTGACCACAAAGGACATGAGGCAACTGGCCAGGACATAAGTCACGCAGGTCTATACTTCTGTTTCAATGCAATTTCCAATCCTCTTGCTGATGGGTTCCAAGGCTTTCCAAAGCCACATGAACATGTCTATATATCTCTTCTCAGGAAAAACTGAAAATTAATTTTCTATTTGAGGTTCTTCTACTTTTCTTCTTGAACTTTCTCTGCATCTCCCATTTCCTTGTCCTCTTTCCTCTTTCCTCCATTGTCTCTTCCCTACATTCTCTCCAGAGTCAGATACTGCTTTCAGTTCTTTTCATGTATTTTCTCATTGGAGCCACATATAACCCTATGAAGAAGCTCTGCAATCATGTCTTGTTGCAAAAGGGAACCCTGAACCCCAGGGTCACACAGCTGGGAAGTAACCAAGCCAGGATTTCAACCAGCCCACCTTACTCCAGAGTCCACAATCACTGTACCATATTGCCTCTATTGTGATTTTTTTTGGCCTAAGCATTTATGGTAAAGATGAACTGGTTTAAGTAGGCAAGAAGCAGTGACACCTAAGAAATTAATCTTAATCTCTGCTACACTCAACTGCTTTAAAGGTGAAAATCAAGGTGGCTAATTGATGGGCAATTTATTAAGGTTTTTTTGTACACCAGCCTTGAGAATTTTGTCTCTCCCATGTGGAAGCACACTGAGAAAAGTCAAGAACAAATACCAATTAGAGATTATAATGACTACAAAGAACAAAGAAAAAGAAGACAACAAAAAGCTAACCTATTATGTTACTGCATTCTCTGTGCCCCCTCCAAAAACAAACCAAATGATGTCTTTGTTTCTATTAACATCTATTACTCTTATTCATTTTATTAATTAGGAATAGTTTTCAGTGGGCTTATTCTTAGAATTAAATTAAACAATTTGATGGAGCAAATGTTAAAATACAAGCTCCTACAAGATCAACATACCTAATGAACTAATTTATAGGCTATGATAAAACTGAAGAAATGGAAAGGATACTCCTGCCCTCCTTCCACCAAGGCCTTTACACTTCTACTCTATTCTTCCTGGTTATGAAGGTTGGACCACCCACTAAAGTTTCTCCAGCTAAATAAACTGCTACAGCTGAAAAAAGTGCAAACTTCTTGGCTTACTGCTTTTATATCCACCCAGTGTTAATTCAAGAATGATTTTCAGCAGTTTGTAGACTAAATCCAACAGAATAAAACTTGGATCTTAATTAAGGATTATCACAAAATGCATGAAATCATTAGCTTAGCCCTCAGCCTGCCTGTGTCCACAATTACTCTTCTTTCCTCTGGAATAACACCTTGGTGCCTAGAAGCCAACACCATTTAGATGACATAGAACATAATGGCATTAATCCCATCCATGGAGAAAGAAAATGCAGCAGTTTATAAAGCAGATTTCATTGGTGAATTGACTGCGTTTAACAACAGGAAGAGAGTATACTGGGAGATGAAAAAGGAAAAACATGTTAACAATTGCAAATGGTAGCTGTCTGCATGAGACACTAGCCTATGCCAAAATAAACTGCAAGGAATAGAAAATCCTGCTGTTACCAACCAGTAAGGCAAAGCTGCCTTCTGGATTTGCAATCACTTTTCTTTAGAGTCATTCTTCGGTTTTTTGGAAGGGACCAGGTTTCTGTGGAACTCTGATGAGCTCTGGGGAAAAGCAGCGGCTAAGGTATATTTAGCAAACATGTTCTAAGAGTCTACCATGCTCAAGACACTGCATTTTGATTAAGCCTGCATCACCTTTATAGCCTTGTAGCCTAAGTATTCTTTGCAATTTCAGTTTGTGCTCTTGATAAAAGGTGACTGCCCTCTCCTGGCCACCTTTCATGAGACTGCTTGCTTTCAGATCTTATTAATAGTTGTCACCATCACCTGTCCCTCATTACTCTTCCTCATCTGAGATGCCAAAAACTGCCAGGGAAATGCAGTGTATAATCAGTTCTTAAAGGTCCAATCAAGTGTGAGGCTAAACACAGGAAAACTTGCATACATAGTTCTCTTACCAATGAAATGGAGGACTTCCCACTGACCTTCACACAATCTTTTCTTTCTATCCTCCTCTCCCACCCTGCAATGACTACAGACCCCCAATAATGTCCCCACTGTGGCAGAATTCCAGGGACAGGCCTGGGCATTACATTACCAGAGCTCCCCATCTAGTCACTGTCTTTGCCTCCAATGTTTCTTAGGCCCAGCCCCAATTGTCCACCTCTGTTTCTCAAACCCAGCACCTGGTTCTGCTGAATTACCATTTTATATTGGTTATAGGGTATCGCAATATCTCTGAATATCTTCTTATATTTTTGTATCTAGAACTATTATGTATATGGTGGTAGATAGCTGGGAGTTTGAATAAACCCAGATGTAACTCACTTTTCGAAGGTCATAAATTCTAATAGGACAGAAGAGAGACCTGGTTATCAGAGGAGCAAGGCTGAAGATCTTAACAAGAGGGGAAGTATGAATGTAGCTTCCCAACGTGGACTCCTTGGGTCTGCCAGTCCAAAGAGGTGACCTTGGTCGTGTGAGATTTGTAGAATAAATCTTCCCTGTGAACTTGCACTCAGAAGGCACTTGTAGGCAGTCAATACAGAATCCAAAATTTACTTGTAAGATGTGCCTAGTGAAGTCAGCAAATGTTTTGTTTTAGACATTTGTCTTTAAGTTCAGTTCTGGTTAAAGAAGTTGCTCATTTTTACTAGAAGAAAAAAATAAATTCTGGGTGAAGTAAGTTTTATTTTATTTTTCTTTTCCAGTAAGTAATAAAATAATTTTTTTCAAGGACTTTCAGGATAGAAAATATTTTTTTATATTTACTCCATTAAAGTTTGCAATCAACTAATCCCTAGAAATAGGAAACAAAGAAGGGAAGAGAAGAAGGTTAACATACACGAGCTAAAATCACAGCTTATCGTCAAACCTCTTAATCAAGTTTTAACCTCACCCTGTTAAGCCTGTTTTGTTTGTTTGTTTGAGATGGAATTTTGCTCTTGTTGTCCAGGCTGGAGTGCAAAGGTGCAACCTCAGCTCACCACAACCTCCACCTCCTGGATTCAAGAGACTCTCCTGCCTCAGCCTCCAGAGTAGCTGGGATTACAGGCATGTGCCACCACCAGCTAATTTTGCATTTTTAGTAGAGATGGGGTTTCTCCACGTTGGTCAGGCTGGTCTTGAACTCTGGACCTCGGCCTCCCAAAGTGCTGGGATTACAGGTGTGAGCAACCACATCCTGGCCCCTGCTAAGCCTTTTATCAGAGCTGCTAAGAAATAACCAATGTGACATATTTAAGCTTCATCTCATCTATTTCCTCTCCATGTCCCGATTTGGGCTGCTAATGAGCTGTGAAGTAGCCAAAGATAACCCGCCTCTATATGGGAGAGAGCATAGAGCTGGATTCTTAGCAAAAGCTGGATATTTTCTATTATAGCTCTAGGAGATGATTTAAGAAGGGGAAAGGGCACTTTTCTCCCAAATAACTGCTCCTACACAATTGAAATTTTACCAAAGAGGTAGATTTCTTTGTGTTAAAGCATTACGTCTCCGGTAGCCTTTGATTATCTAAATTTTGCTCAGACAACTGAGATTGAGAAATGTGAAGTAGCTTGCCAATGATACACAACCTGTATTGGCAGAGCTGGGACTCAGATCATAGGAGTTATTGTTTTAATCATAAAACTCTAAGAATCTCTCTAATTCTACCTTATTTCTCTGACCAGAGCTGTAAGTTCAGGACATCAAAGTAATAACCTCAGGGTGTACAAAAATGTTGCCAGAATTGGGGGTGATATGACCAAAAGTTGCACCATGAATCAGACCTGGTAGAAGGGAAAGGAGACCAGAGAAAGAAAATGGGTCAAAGTTTTTAATTCTAATACAAAAAAAAGTTACTAAATGGTTACTCATGCCATTATGGTAATGAATGAACAGTTTATAAACTTAGTTTTTAATGGGCCACCTGATAGTCAAGTGTAGGGCCCTAAAGGATTTGAAGACAGTATAAGTATCGCTGTAAATAAAATGCAGAAATGAATACTGATATTTTGTTTAGACACATAAACAAGTAGGTTTTCTATATATATATGTGTCAGGCACTTATCTGAGTACTAGGGACAGGGGCATGCTCTCTGGTCACACAGCCTTTTAGCTGACAGTTTGGAAAAGCCAGGGAGGGATCAGATGAGAGAGGTAAGGAGTAAGTAAATGAATCTGACTGTATAACCAAAAACCTTTGCTAGCTGTATAGTTAGATTAATTCCAAAATCTTCATGGCATATGCACCTAGCATTCTCTCTTCTGCCTAATCTATACCCTACAGCCAGCCCCATGCCTAATGAGTCACCATTCCCTGAACACATTGGAAATCTGTACTTCTTTGTGTTTTTGAATATGTGGATTCCTGGATTCCCCCACCATTCTCTGTCTCGAGAACCCCTGAGTCCATTTTCTCACACTGCTTTCATTACCACCCTTGTGAAGCCTTGTCTAGCACCAGAGGGTGTTTATCACCATCTCCCTGCTCCTTTATAACATCAGCACAAGCCAGCACTGTGGCGATCACTTTGGAGTACTGGAATGACCTATTTTTTTGACCATACACAGAGATTGGTAGGGGGTAAAGAAGCAATTAATTCAAATTTCATCAAATATTGATTTTCCAGCAACCAAGTAGCAGCTCAAGCATTCTATCTGTAGTCTGTGGACTTAATTTTTAATTGTTAGCATAAGAGCTCGGATTCCTAGAATAGGAGCAGGTAGTGATTATGATGACAGAGGGTGCAAAAAGATAAATTCAACTCATATCACAATGTTTTTCCAGGCTAGAACTTATGGTGAAGGGAGATCGTTAATATTGCTGAAATATTAAGACTTTAAATGTCTGAATATCCCCAAGGATAGTGTGGTAAGTATAAAACAGAATGAAACTCTGATGCACACTAAGGAAGAGATAAAACCAAGTTTGAAAAAATTCATTCTCCCTTTTCTCTCTGTGTCTGTCTCTGTCTCTCTCTCTCTCTCACGCATACACACACAAACACACACACAGACACACACACACACACGCATACAAACACATAAACAAAATCAGTAAATAAAGGAAGACAAATTATTCCCTAACAAAAAAAGCCAGATGACAGATAATAAAAAAAATAAAAAAATAAACCCCAAAAGCCCCCAAAACCCAGATGATTGTTTGTAATGGAGTTTGAGCTTCATTCGTTCAACATTTAGTAAATGCCTCGTATGTGCTAGACCTTTTTCCAGGCACTGAAGATAAAATGGTTACAAACAAAGGAAGAAAAAAGTTTAAAAACCTACAAGACTTGCCTTCACAGATCTTAATATTTTCAGCCAATACATGAGTAATATAATACATCAGATGATGACAAATACTATGGGGAAAAATAAACTATGATTTAGAGAATGTTGGTGGGATAGTGTTGTTCTTTTAAATTAGCTGGGTAGAGAGGTTGAAACTATGAAAAATATTTTTAAATAGAGATCTGAAATAGATGAAGAAATCCTTGAGGATTTCTGGAGGAAGAGCTTTCTAGTAGGGAAAGACCAGTAGCAAAAGTCACAAGGTGGGTGCTCACCTGACACATGGGAAATAGCAATGATGACAGCAAGGAGTACAGTCTGTTCTATTACAGCTTGTGTTTCTGTAACAGCAAGCAGCTCATATGCTACTTGTAAATAGTGGGATAATATTGGTATAACATGGAAACAAGATTTTTCTTAGGCAAGAGGAGCTAGAATAGCAGAACAGAATTATAACCTTAGCAGGAAAAGAAAAATCCCTGAAGTTGGCTGCTGCACAGTCTGCAGTGATTTCAGGTGTCTTAAGAGTATTAAAGATGAGCACCTGCCCCGAGAGGTGTCTCCCCAGAAATATGCCTTCTCCTACCAGGCAAAGCTATCTGCTCAGGGCTGGTTGAATTTCCTCCTATGACCACCTTAGTGGTAGGCCCTCTGGCTCAGAGCTCTATTCATCTGCTTCATCTCAGCTCACCAGCCAGCATCGCCATGCTACTGTTTTTGTGCATTTTTAATATTCCTTGAGTTGCCTCCAGTCAATCTGAGCTGCCTGCCTGCCTGTTATCTCCCAAGGTATCTATTATTGCTTTGGTTACTCCTATAGTTTTTTATGTTGTATAAGATAAGCGCGTTCTGCTCCAATTGTAATTTTACTATAAGCCCTGTTATTTTTCAAAGTACATCTTGAAGTTCAAACAGTTTTACAAAACACATAAATAGTGTTATAGCAGAAACATCTGCCCAAATGAAGTCAAGGATTTCAGGGAACCAGATCACAAAGGACATTGCAGGCCATCATGAAATGGGAAGGCACTGGAAGGCTTTGAGTAGAGGCATAAGATGATAAAATGTGCTGAAAACAAAATAGGAGTGGAGGGAGAGAAAATGAGCAAATATAAAAGCAGATAGAATAGGTAAGGGTCTTTGCAATAAGGCAAGTGAATGAGGATGGTGACTTGGACCAGGACAGTAACAGTGAGAAATGGTTAGTATTTGCCAACAAACAGGCTTCGGGGAATGAGAAAAAGAAAGGAGTTAAGGAGGACTCCAACATTTTTTAAACTGAAGCAACCAAAGAATGGAATGTCACCAACTGCAGTGGGATAACTGAAGGATGAGGCAGCAAGGGGGGTGATCGATTCAGTACAGATGTCTTTAAGGCATGCCAGTGGAAATGCCAACTAGGAAGTGAACAGAAATGTTTAGAATTCACAGGAGATAAATTCTCAAGTTTTTATTGTACAGACATTGTTAAAGCTACAAGAGCAAATATATTCAAATACCCATCAAATACTGATTTTCCAAAAACCCACTAGGAGCTAGAGCACAGGTGAATACTTACAAAGCTTGTGGTTTAATCTGTAACTGTTAGCACTAAAACCTGGATACCTAAAACAGGAGCAGGGGGTGCTAATAATGGAAGAAGCGTACAAAAAAAACAGGTTTCAGGCCTGTGCTTCTTAAGTCATTCTAACAGAAGTTAAGGTGATGAGCAAAAAGAGCAGAGGGAGCCGACAAGAAGGACCGATGAGGTGTGAGGAAAATCAGGAAAGGGCAGTGTCATGGAGACACAGGGCTTATGGTAAATAACAGGGCTTATGGTAAAATTAAGATTGGGCAGAACGCTCATATCTTATACAATATAAAAAACTATAGGACTAAACAAAGCAATAATAAATACTTTGGGACATAACAGTAAAGAAGGGTGGGTGATCAAATGGGTCAAAGAAAATGAGAATTGAGGATCTGCTACTAGATTTAGCAACCAGGATAGAATGAGCCATTGTCACAGCAGCTAAGCAGTTTCCATCTGCTGTCCCATCACAATCAACAGAGTATAGAAAACTCTCCCAATACATTTTGCTAAAAATGGGGACAGAAAAATGGGGTAGTAGCTAAAGGAAGGCACAGGATTAACAAGAGTATACTAATTTTTAAAATAAGATTTGGGATATTTCAGTGCGTTTATATGTCAATTGCAATGATCTGATGGAGGGAGAAAATAAATAATATAAGAAAGGAGAACATTGCTGAGCTAATGTCCCTGGATAAAATGCAAGAGGGAAAGAAAGTGTCAGTGAAGAGGTTCATCTTTGATAATAGCTCTCTGTTAACAGAAGGAAGGCAAACCATATGGTCACTGAGGCTGAGAGATGAGTAGATATGGTGGGAGCTTGTAAATTAACCTCTGATAACTTCTGGGATTTTGCAGTGAAAATAG